AATTGAATGATTAGGTACAATGTACTCTATGTAATAAACCCGTTTTTGTTGGTTTAAAATCGATTAATCAACTCTTAATATATGACATATCGTTTCACAAGTTACGTGGGACAGCCAAAATACTCGTTTTTTTTTAATTTTTTTTTTATTGCTTAGATGGGTGGGCGAGCTCACAGCCCACCTGGTGTTAAGTGGTTACTGGAGCCCATAGACGTCCACAACGTAAATGTGCCACCCACCTTGAGATACAAGTTCTAAGGTCTCAAGTATAGTTACAACGGCTGCCCCACCCTTCAAACCGAAACGCATTACTGCTTCACGGCAGAAATAGGCAGGGTGGTGGTACCCACCCGCGCGGACTCACAAGAGGTCCTACCACCAGTAAAATTGTATTGTAAAAATCGTTATTGTATTTCCAATAACCGTTTAAAAAGGCCTGAACACCTTATCTAATAGTACTGTCCGCACGGCTATCGATTGGAAAATAGTGATACAGGAAATGGCATTCAAACTTCACATTGCTTTACATATTTCCACCAAAACCCCCTCCCCAATAGTAACGCTGAATATTGGTTGTAGGGTGTGCTCTGAGCCTATTGTGGCAAAGCGTATCTTTCTGTGGGGCGGAATAGGCGTCATTCCGACGAAATTTCATATTTATTTCATACAATTTACACATTTAACCCCGAAGAAACATTAAATTAACATAATAAAACAACTGCGCTCCTCGCATTCCCGCGAAAAATCGTAAAAATATAGGTGAGGCTATTTCCACAGCTGTCACTTTGACAGATGTCAGGCATTGATAATTTTAGTTTGAACACTTATGCCCCTATTTCATATTTAGGTGGCGGCTATTACTAACACAATAATATAATATAAAAAGTTTTTTTTACGATTTTCTAATGAGAATGCTAACCATTGACGAAGCCACTTTATCACGGTCACAAACTATGAATAAATTAGGGGTTGGCAATAAATTTATGAGTACAGTAGTGCCCATTGTATGTAACTTCGACGAATATTATTGAGCAATGTCCTTGTGCGGTCAATGTATTCCGTAATACATAAAGCACATAAATTATTTATTAAGGAAATACATATAATATATCAAGGAAAACAACACATAAATGGCTTCTTAGGTTTTCGCGAATTGTAGGCGCAATAAATACAAGTTTTACGGTTTTTTCTATTAGGGTTTGTACACAAAACTGCGAATCAGCGCGATGCGAATTCGCAACACACTTAACTACGACACGAATTGCTGCAATGCGATTTCGTGTCGCAAGACGTTTCCCTTCCACAATTGGCGTTCAATTCCACAATCCTTTAACATCGCAGGAATGCGCGATGCAAATCAATTCGCAGGTTCTTGCGATGCGTCGTGGGAGCTCGTAGATTTTTACGACGCGACGTCGCATCGCAGTTTTGTGAACAAGCCCTTAGTCATACGCGACCATGAAAACTGCGGAGTAGGCGAAATTTTATAAATATCCAAACTAAATCAAGTTTTAAGTTTAGTTTTAGTGTCGTTTAAAAACTTGCCTACGTTGATCTTTAATCCTGAAAATTCAACTTTTAGTCCTTCGATATGAAATTGTAAATGTTGAGTCAGCGGAAGGTGAATGAACGTAAGCGGTACAGGTATGCACAAAAGTGATTTTGCACATTAAAAAACACTAAACATTCATTACGCATTCACACACTATTATGTATTTTATTTACGTTTAGCAATCCTCACGTCGTTAATCAGATACAATAATGGGGAAAGATAATATTTTCTAGTGAATGGAAGCTACTATAGGAAAATGCAAGAAAACAGAAAATAATTTTCAATTCTTAAATTATATACATTTGTATATAGTGTAGAAAAGCTTAGTGTATAACGTGCCTGCGGATGATCCCGATTTTTTGTGCTTAATGCGATCTTAAATCTTTGTTATTTATATCATAATAGGTGAATCTTCAATCAGATGGGAAGCAAGCACGAGTCTGTACATATGACATCGTATGCAGTCAACATGAGTTTTGAGGTCTCAGTTTTAACAGTAAAACGTTGCACCTAACCGTGCCGATTCACAAGACGTCCTACCACCAGTAGTAAATGAGTTTATTTCAATTAGTTTCAGTATTAGTTCAATTATCGTTCATAACGAATTCATTATTATAATTTCAAACTCTAAACAAGACTCCAGACTCGATCAAAAATATTATACATAATATTATGTTCTATCTAAAATTCGAAAATAAATCATTGAATATTTTGTTAATACTTTTGTTAATAATGTTACATAACTTAAGCGCTTCGACGTAACGACTGAGTCATCTCGTACATTACAATTGTTTGATGTTCGCAATACCTCATACTCTTGCTAATTGAATAGTCTATATAGAAATGCTCTAAAACATCACTAAGTGGCGTGGTTCATAGGCCTTACTTAGTTGCTTAGTTGCTAATGAAAAAATTATATTAGTCTGTCCGGCTTATACATCAAGAGATACGGGTACACCATACTAGCTTATTTTTCATTCAACTGACACCAAGAAACCAGGAACAAAATGAGAAGTCTGCAGATCTTGCGAAATAAAAAATAGCATTGATCTCGCGAAGATCTCCGCTGAAAAGGGTGTGCATGCTTTAAAATGGATTGCATACAAATCGCGCAGTTCTTTAATAATTTTTTTTTATTGTTTTGATGAGTGGACTAGCTCACAGCCCACCTGGTGTTAAGTGGTTACTGGAGCCCATAGACATCTACGACGTAAATGCGCCACTCACCTTGAGATACAAGTTCTAAGGTCTCAAGTATAGTTACAACGGCTGCCCCGCCCTTCGTTTAAACCGAAACGCATTACTGCTTCACGGCAGAAATAGGCAGGGTGGTGGTACCTACCCGTGCTGACTCACAAGAGGTCCTACCACCAGTAAAAGACCAATGACCATGACCAAGCATCATGACCAATTCTTGTTGCGTTATTACGTGTCATAAGGAACCCTAATTGGATCTGGCGGCGCCACCGCTCGGCTCCAAGATGTCCGTTTAAATTATCGCAGCAATCATTCAAGCGTTTATATATTATTTTTTGCTTAAACCCGTCGGTCGATCTCACATTTTTATTTTATCACTTCTGAAGGTATATGGTGCGATATTTCTTGGAACTCATTATGAGAACACGATAGGAATTTGATGCCCAAATATCCGATGGCGCGGCGTGTGAGGCCGTTTTATTTTGGATAAAATAATTACACTATTAATTGTATTCTGTACTGTACTCTATTTACTGTACTCTATTATATTTATTTACTTTTACTATTTACTCTTGATACTTTACGCTATTTTATTTATTTACAAATCAATCAAATGTTTAGGTGAGAATGTAGCTAGCAAAGAAAAGAAGTTGTTTGACAGATTCCTGAATCGCGCCACCGACATTTCGTAGAGAAGGGTTTTAGTGGTGGTAGGACCTCTTGTGAGTCCGCGCGAGGTGGTTACAACCACCCTGCCTATTTCTGCCGTGAAGCAGTAATGCGTTTCGGTTTGAAGGGTGGGTCAGTCGTTGTAACTATACATGAGACCTTAGAACTTATATCTCAAGGCGGGTGGCGCATTTGCGTGATGTCTATGGGCTCCAGTAACCACTTAACACCAAGTGGGCTGTAAGCTCGTCCACCCATCTAAGCAATAAAAAAAACAAGTTTTCATATAAACAAATTTAAAACGTTCAGATCATCGGTCTACCGAGTAATTTCACTCGCTCGATATATATTGCCTTCGTTGTTTCCTCCAAAACTGCTAATGTACCGTTGCTTCAAACACATACTCATCATTAAGCGATAATTTTTTTTTGCTGTTCGCGTATAATATTATGCAGAACCATCGTACAGACTTGTATCTACGGCACTTTATCCACGAATCGACTGATTGACCATTCACGCAAGGTTTACGGAACACTAATTCGCGCAAATACCATTACGCTTGTACGACTCATTTAGCACGTCTATAATTTCAGTGAAAACACAGTGCTTTTTAGCTACAATCGCTGTAAAATATGTGTTATAAACGTCTAGTTTGACAGAAAAACGAAGGAAACATATCGTTGCATCGGAATGTACATATTTACGGTTTCAAGGGAACATGGGAACTATTTAAACCACATAAAAACACAACTGTTAGACCCTTGCAGATTTAGCATTAGGAGCAGGGACAATGGTAACCACTAAACTCGTCGAACTCGTCAAAGAGTTCCACGTGAAACCTAACACATGTCATCAGTCCGCGGAGATTCTCGCCGGATCTCCTTAGTGGGTCGAAGAAAGTTCCCTTGAGCTGTTAGGTCTCCTTTGGAGGCGCTCGGGCAGTTGTCAGCAAATCCCACCCCTCCCGGCTAAGCCCGAGCTCGGCTACCTGTCCTGGTGTAACTGGAAAGGCCTTCATCAAGCCACAAGTGATCCCTCCATCCATTCCATACAATTAGGAGAGGAGGTTAGGACCCGTATAACGATTTCCGTTCTGATCTTCATACCCTGGGCGTATACAGCTAAAGGAAGATGTTCCACCGAGCTAGTGAATTTCCACCTAGTAGATCGGCGGTCCAAAGGTTGTTTTTGAGAGGCTATATCAGCGTCGCTTTAACTAGTAGGTGAGCTCACGGGGCTCAAACCTGATGACGTTGCTAACACGAACCCAAGCAAGAGCCGTGCTTCCCAGAATCTACCACCGGATCGGAAACGCGACCCACTGAGAAGATCCGGCGAGAAACTCAGTGGGCAGTGTCTGAGGGTTAATTGACTCGTCGAGCCCTTCGTCGCAAGTGACGGGTTCGACGAGGACGATGACCGGCATTAGTCAAATATCTTGTGTTGTATGATAGCTACCGCCATAGTACCATAGCCAATAAGAGCATTATAATGTGTTAAAGATTAAGAAGTATTTAAGAAATCTGTTATAAATATGAAACCTAAGCAACGAAAACATTTTGATGTTGAATTTGATCAACAGAACGGTCTTCTGTCGTCCTTGCCGTATCTTGGGAAGTACCTGTGTGCGTTGGTGTCGTCCGTGCTGGCTGATTACCTCAGGCGGAGCGGCAAGCTTTCCACCACCACCGCGAGGAAACTCTTCACTGGCTTCGCTGTTGGCATACCAGGTAATGTAACCTTGAATCAAAAGAGATTCTGTTTAATGATAAGACAATTGAATAACCATTATGTCCTTTGTCTTATTAAATGTCTATGAACAAATATAATTTAAAATAATAATTCAGCTTAAAAAATATATACGGTAAACTAATTGTTGTCTCTGTGAACTATAATAATTTTCGACTGATTTATTTTAATTGAAAACTTTCGGCACCGTTGTTGTGATTTGAAGCCGATATGAAACGAAAAATCGACACAGAAAAAGACAAACATACATTTATAGGATTTAGCAGGAGAGAGAATGAGATACTAATACTTGTGAAGGCTTCACTTCTACCGCGTATCGTCACATTGTGGTAGCTACCAGCGAATATTAATATACATCGTTCCGATCCTGCAGACCGAATGGTAAACAGTCGACTTTGCCAAAAAAAACACGGCATTTCGGATCCTCCCGATCCACTAACGGTGCTTTTAGGTAACTCAAGCACCGGTCATCGTTCTCGTCGAACCCGTCGCTTGCAACAAGGGCTCGACGAGTTAATTAAATTAACCCACAGACACAGTCCTCTGAGTTTCTCGCTTGATCTTCTCAGTGGGTCGCGTTTCCGATCCGGTGGTAAATTCTGCGGAGCACTGCTCTTGCTAGGGCTAGTGTTCGCAACGTCGTCCGGTTTGAGCCCCGTAAGCTCGCCTACTTCTTAGGGTTACGCTGAACGGACTGTCAAGGCCTCAGCTTAGGTAGAAAAATAATAGAAATAGACAAATTTTTTTAAATATCAATAAGAAATTTAAAGAGAAAAGGTAATACATACAATTTAAATCTTGAGGTGTCAGTGATTATGGTCGAATTTTGATTATTGAATGAACACTAGCACTCTAAGGAGGATTTCCACGTTGAAGGAATGAAATCGTGTGAAAGGTAATCTACCTCGGGCTATGAGTTTGATTCGATTCGACAATTGAGTCGTTATATCTTCAACAATAACTTAAAATTTCAGGTTTGCTCATGATTGCTCAGGCGTCTCTGGGCGACGACCGGGTGTGGTCCATAGCGATGTTCACGTCCGCGCTCACTATCAACGGAGCTGTGACCGCGGGCTACCTCGGCAACGGTCTGGACATCGCCCCCAATTTCAGTGGTAAGACCAATCTCAAGCTCATCTAGTATTGAGTGATCTATGGAGTCCGTTGCCACCAGAACGTATAGCTGGTCTTTTTTTTAATTGCTTAAATGGGTGGACGAGCCCAGAGACATATACAACGTAAATGCCGCCAACCTCTTTGAGATATGAGTTCGAAGGTCTTAGTGTAGTTACAACGGCTGCCCCTCCCTTCAAACCGAAACGCATTACTGCTCACGGCAGAAATAGGCAGGGTGGTGGCACCTACCCGCGTGGACTAATAAGACGTCCTACGACCAGTAAGATCAGTTCTGTTGTTGTTTTTTTTTTATTACTTTGATGTATTGCTTTGTGTGGGATGGTTTGACCAGTTCCCTCTAATTCATATTCCAGGAACAATCTTCGGTCTAGCGAACACGCTGTCTTCGTTCGGAGGGTGGGCCTCCACGTTTATGGTCGGTGAACTCACGACGAATAACGTAAGCAAAGACACAGTATCCATTGTTTTTTGTATCGTCGAAAATTCGAAATAGAAGCATAACGTCGGATATTAATTGTTCTTTTGGTATTTTAACTACGCCCAATATGTGGGTTACAATCAATTCAGCATTACAAATTCTAATTAAATCAAATAAAATTAGCCATTATTTTTATTGTGTGATTTCTAAAAATAGTTGTACTTCTATAGTGTCGATTTTAATAAAAAAATATTTTAGGCCTTATAAACATACGAAGAGAGCTGAAATTCGCTAAAACTAATACCAACCACAAAATCCACAGAATACGATCGAACAATGGAGGATAGTCTTCTATATATTATCCGGGACTTATATCGTTGGAGCCCTTTGCTTCGTACTCTTCGGCTCCGGGGAACTGCAGCCCTGGAACTCACCAAAGAAAATCAACGAAACCGAAGAGAAGAAAGAAGAGGAGCCTCTGAACGAGGAGAAAGTCTAAACAGGCGACGGTCAGACAGGGAAATGGGAATGACGTTAGTAAATAAAGACATATGTCTGATTGTTTATAAGTCTGTGGCACAGTAGGGCTGTCGCTACTGCACCGACTTCATTATTGGTAAGAGAACTTATTAAAATTGATTTTTTTATACGATAAATACATTTTGTTCAATATAATTTCATTACGTGGGTTTTGTTGGGACATTGTTAAAATCATAGAACACTCAGCGCTATCTGATGGGGTTTTTGGGAGTATGCGTGCTCCGTAGCTTCCCCGCAATGGACTCGGAGGATAGATGACAATAGTATTTGATTTATTATTTAACATTTTAACAACCTGCGATATTAACGATAATAAAATTTTCAGGTAAAATCAATCCAATACATATACAATATACAATACATGGGAATAGCAAAAACTTTTTTTTTTAATTTAGTCTCACGCACACCCCTAAAATGTTTTTACGGGCTTATGTCGTGTTTATTTTAATTTAAAATTTCGAATTGCCACAATTTCTTTAAAAACCATTTTAAGGATATAAAGTCTTTATTTACTAACGGACAAAAGTACAGTACCCGACGATAAATATTGCACATCGACCTTTGGAAAGAGACAATCGGCTAACATCGGTTCTGTAGAGCACTATCTCTGTTTTACGAACCTCTAACAGTCCTACCGCACTGTACCGCATAACAACGCCTGACAAACGTCACTTAGGCAGTGTGTGACAGAGATAGCGCTCTACATAACCGATGTTAGCCGATTGTCTCTTTCCAAAGGTCGACGTGCAATATTTATCGGCGGGTACTGTAAGAACTTTTATCATACTTACTGGAACTGTATTTACAAATGTTGCCATAAAATTGAGCTTACTACGACTAAAATACGAATTTATCGAGCTTACTAATGAATAGTCGAAAATGTAAGTGTTTATATAGAAATCGAAATCTATAGAAAAATTTGTATTTAAATATTAACCTGTCTGACAGACAATTAGTATTAAGTGTTGCCTCGTATTCGTATATTCTTATACTGTATTAATAATTTAAAAACAATAAATCATACACTTTTGTACATTCTTTTGTAAATAATATTTATTTTTGTGTGAGAATTTGGTGCTAATTTCTAATTACTATTCGATTTCTTAAACCTCCACCTCATTAAAAAAGTAAATTCTATAAGTTCTATATTTTAGCTTCCTCTTATCTCCGATTTCTGTTGCAAATTGCTTACATAAATATTTTCGAATTCATTACAGTATAACATTAGTTTAGATATTCAACTAGAAAAATCTTTGTAGTTTAGACGTTATCAATAAATATAGATCCAAATTCTCGCACTGATATTGACACGAGAAGAAAACGGCTTCGTCACACGTGTCCGTGTAGCGGGACACTAAGACGCTCCTTGTGTTATATAAATATAAAAAATAAAAATATTAAAAAAAAAAACTCAAAAAAAGGCTGTTAATGTAATTTTAAGTATTGTGATTTATTTATATGAATACGTAACGTATCGGCTCGCGCAAAGGACTCTGAATGATGATTTATTTAGTATAACGGCGTACCCGATGTCCACATTCATATAGTGTGAAATTAGAAATGTGAGCACCCCTGAGCACACATGAACACTCGTGAGCACGCGTGAGCACACTTCACGACGCGTCTATACGAGCTTCCGAAACGACGGAAAAAACTTAAGCAATGGCTCGGTAACAAACTTGGCCTATCAACACACCGGAGCCATAATCATGTAACTGGTCTAAGAAATATCTTGGAGCAGTTCGAATATAGTTCATTCCATATCAGTGCTTCTGTCGTAGTACTGCAGGACACCTCTGTCGCGGTGACCTTCGGCTAAGAAGTTTAAATAAATCTACCGGAAGATGAATGTGGATGTTAGGGTCGCAGAGACGGCGTCAGGAGTTCGGAACCCGACTCATAATTTATAATGTCCTAGTGTTAATAGGACAAGTCACAAGTATTAAGTCTTCGTTGGTACAATTCAATTTTGCATTTATACGTTCGTGTCGCCTGCGCTGGTATTAAAAGTTGATTCTGGGTTTTTTTTTAAATATACCTCATTACCATTACGGAAGGCGTATTGGAGCAATTATTCCAGTAAAGTAAGACAGATCGAGCATGAGATTCATAACGTTTTGGCTTTATTAACGCTCCGCTTCGCACGCAATGTAAGACGAACAGTTGCCAGGCGAACACTTGAGGTGTTCGCTATACAATGCGCGTCTACAAAATTCGCTTTTCAAATCTACGTTGTGACTGATAGTTGAGTTTTCGACGATTTTTTTCTTTCTAATTTACCTTTTTATAAATCTTTAGTCGTGGATATATTCAGTATACGCACATACACATATGTAATTTTATCATTTCGCATCCCACTAATAACTTGAAGTTCTTCGTTATCAATAGTGCGGCAGTAGTTTTGACTAATATCGATTCGTAATTGCCCCATTACTATTTTTTTTTGTATATTTTATTTCAATAGCGTAAAAAAAAGTAATAAAATTCAGTACATATACTCTTGGCTACCATGTAGTATTGCTCGCATTCCGAGCGGGGCGACCGCGCGTCTGTGTGCTTAGCGCGAGTTATTTAACGTTCTCGATAGCGTAAAAGTTAACTCATATTTGTATGGAATGGGATCGTTTGCGTACGTTTGCCGCTAGGGGCGCTGTTCCAACTGCATACAAAATTAGGTTAACTTTTACGCTATCGAGAACGTTAAGAAACTCGCACTAAGCATACTGAACTTCACAGCGCGTATAAAACCGAATCTGATTTAATTGCGTATGTACAGCGCTTTCACCCAATTATTAACACGTCGTTTATTCATTAATTAAATGCGTCATTGAATAGTATCAAATAAATGTAGGCCGCAACTGTGACGTCACGTACATTAATAGCAACGCTAGTTTTAGTGCCTCTTAAAGAGAATTAAGTACAGTCGATGACAGTCGTGATTTTTGACATTTGTGCGTGACGTCACCGTTCCATAAGTAGTTTTGCTCGTTCATTTCATGCGTTTGAAAAATTTGTCGCGGATTGAGAAATTAAAAAAAAAAACAAAAAAAAGCCTTCAGATTTAAATTTCAACCAAATATTTGTAAAATTATTTATCGAACAAAGAAAGAAAGGTTTCATTCGAAATAAACAATTCGTACAAAAACATATGGTAAAAACTTTAATTGGGACCAATATAATGAACAGCGAAATTACCGAACGAATGCACGTGTGAATTATATTTTTTTTATTTTTTTTTTTATATTGCATCCTTCACATTCATGAATTATTTCAATATCTTTTTAACGTCAAAGCTGACGAGTAAAATATTAACCATTTCGCTTTTAAGTAAAATATTTTACACACATGCATCGGTAAGATAGTTTTTTATTAATAAGAAATTAACGTAACGGATATGTTTTTCATGACCTTAGTTAAGTTTTATTTTATTTAAGTATCTATTTATTTAATGCGACATCATTATATTTAATGGAAATCTCGACCAGTGCTCTGTCGTGGCTCTATGGTTCTAATCCTTTCTGTTCGTCCGTCATACAGATAGACAAGGGATCTACCATAGACAATACTACACTTAATGTACCTACCTATACATTACGGATTTAAGGAAATAGATACATTTGAGAAACGTATCGAGATAATTTTAAGTAATTTTAAAATTTCACATTTACTCAGTGTTGGCTTCAGACAATTTTAGTTTTGGACTTTAAGTTTTTATCTTGCATAAAGTACGATCATCTTCTCGGTTACAAACTGGAGTTACTTTGTCGGTATCACATTATATTTATTTATTTATGATTTGTTATAATTATTGATTTGTAAACGTAGACCTGAAATTGCGATTATAAAATTGAAATTTTAGCAATTGATGTCTTTATGTGTTAAAGCATCCACTGAGAAAGGTTTTTTTGTTAATTCCACTCCTATAAATTTTTAAGGATGAATGGTTGGATGGAAATCCAATATTTTCAAAGTAAAAAACATATTTGCATATCATATTTAGTTACATATAAAATCACGTATACATACATACAATATATATACATAGTTATCTATTTTATTTTTCCGTTAAAAGGGTACTTAAAGAGTTGAAAGTTAAAACGGGAAGATTGTCACTTTTGAAAGAAAAAGCACAAAATTCATTATTAAAATTTAAGGAAAAAACAATACAAATATAATAGCAGAAATGTCTTTTCAGCACAATACACTAATTGTTCCGTTAGAAACCGAACGGCTTGCTTTTACGTTAATTATAATTTAATATTAAATAATTATTATTTATAATATACAATTAAATACATTACCTCGAAATAAATACGTCACCCAGGTATAAGATTTCTATAAATATTCAGAATCGGTTCAGTAGGACCATAGATTATCCAATGCAACAAAGGAATTTTTTTTCATTAAGTTTTATGGACTAAAGAGAGCCCTGGCTTCTTTGTAGGGTAGTTGCGTCGTCTAATATTCTACATTTAATAGTAATCGCACGCTTAATAATAGACTAACCTATTACGATTTAGGTCCAATGTAAGCAAACATAGATTTATTATAAATCCTTTATCTGCCAATCTCAGAATTTCTACGATTATTTTATATTCTAGACTAAAATAGTGCTTAAATCTTTAACTCTTTTACTTGTGGAATTTTTGACAAGGCTTGTAAAGTAAACATGACAGTGACATAAACCATTTTGGGTCTGAGAGTCTGAGATTGTGACACAGTGATGCCAACTCCGGGGTTTTCCCCCCGAATTTAGGGGGAAAAAATCTATACAGGGATTTTTTTAGGGGGTGAAATTTTTTGGGGATATTTTTAGGGATAAAATGTTATATAGAAAAATACTTAAAAATACTAAATAACTATTGTTATTCACTAATTATTTATTATTTTTATTTATTTCTTTACTTATATTGTAGTGAATAAATACTTGGCCCGTCGTTGGGGAGTTTTGTTTTGAATTTAGTGGTTTTTGAAATTGCTTTAGGGGGAAAGTTTTCAAAGTTGGCGACACTGTTGTGACATTCGACTCGCGTTGTTGTTTTTAAATTAGAGTGATACATATAAGTTCGCATTATGTAAAAAAATCGCAGGTAAATCGTACTTAAATGAATTATAAGATTATGACCAATTTGATTATTAGGTCAGTTTGGTAGAAAATGTGACATTTATCATAATTACATTTTAGTATCAAAATTGCCTGATCAATTATTCTTACAATATTATTATATCGCTTAATATTTATCAGACTATTTTCGTTAAAGTAGAAATAATGAAATCTGACAAGTTTTTAATTACAAAAATATTTTGTTATTTCTCAACGATTTGCTTTTTTGATTTAGGTCAGTCTATTATTATCTATGAGCGTGCCATTTTGTAATTGACTAAATTATTTAACGACTAAAAAGTAGTTCCTAAACTGATGTCAGTATTGGAGATCTTTTTTTTGGCAATTAGATGTTTTTAGCATTTTTTAAATTGTGTTTAATTTATGAATTTATATATATATATATATATATAGTTCTAATTATGGTGGTTGCAGTCAATAACCTTATTAATTCTCATGTTTGAAACAGTATGAAATTTATTTATATCTTTATAAATTTGGTAGTAAGTTTATAAATTGCTTTTTAACTATATTTTGATGTGTATGAAAAGAAATTGCTCACTGACTCAATCTTATCGAGTTCAAAAAACTTAATATGCAATAAAATTTATATAGTTACTTCAATTTCAAGTAAAACTGTGACACTGAAGCTTATTGTAGCTTATTGCAGCTGGCAACATTATTGATATTTATAGATATTTCTGACGAATACAAGATTGCCAACACAAATGTATGGGATTAACGAATTTTTAGGATATGTATTTATATTATTATAAATCAGATGTATTCATTGTAATGTTGTATTGTGTTAGGATTCAATAGTTAAACCTTTGCACTCGAGAGGTTTACAATTAACACTTATTTTGGTGACAGAGTGTAGTCTCTCAAGTGTGACGTATTAATAATGCAAACATTGTAAATAATATACGTTTAATAATGTGGAAAACGTTATTTATAAAAAGACAAGTCATTTAAAGAACAAAATTTTGTGTATTTCACTTTGAATCTGTTTTTTTATTTATTTCGAGTCTTATATAGTTTGTGTTACTCTATCAAATGCTAATAAGATGGAGACAGTCATTCCAAATATAAATGATCAAACTCATATAAATTGTATCTAATATAATAGTTTTGCTCTACTGAAGAATTGTTTTATGAAATAATTTCTTATTGTTTTTAAGGCTATAAATTTTTTTCAGATCCAATATACTAACATCAACTTTTTTAAATATCTTCATAATATATATCTTGACGTATGTGGTAAACATTAGATTTCAAATTTTGACAATTTTGTTAACAACATTAGATTTGACGTAACAATTAAAATCTTTTTAAGTGCCTTTCTTATAAATCAAAAAGAAGTCGAATGTATTTTCATAAGTAAACGAATCTTGTTTTTAGATCAGCCCATATTTTTGAATCAGATATTCTAGTGCGTATGATTCCTCTATATGTAAACTGCATAAAAACATGTACACATGTTGTTAATGTATATGACAATGCTCTTGTGAAACTGTTTTGAAAAATAAAGAATTTACAAAAATGTGTTTTTTATTTACAACTAGGCGTCACCCTCGGCATAGGGAAGACATTCGGTCCCCACATTAAGGCAATACGCGACCGAGCCGCATTCCTACTCTGTCGACTCTACCCCATGATCTGTAAGCAAAGTAAATTGTATCTTTATAACAAGGTGTTACTCTACAAAACTTGCATAAGTTTCAACGTGGATCGTGGCCTATTCAAGTGTAGTGTTCGCTCACGCGGCCCGCATGCACATAAACTCATTCCAGTGTATTTAATCCCATTTCTGCAGGATTGTCATTGGTGCACCGTGGTATGTGAGGAATATAGATCTTCATAACGACCTAAATCTAGTACGATAGTCCGGTAAGACTTAAGGAAGCGTCAGAACGCTACTTCGACAAAGCGGCGGGACACGAAACCCTCCTATTGTGGTCGCCGTTAATTACTTATCCGGCCGTGAGTGGGCAAAGCAAAGCCGCCGTCGCCCAAAAACTGTCTAGTCGGATTCCCCAGATCCACTCTCGGTGCTTTTAGGCTTTTCAAGCACCGTTTATCGTCCTTGTCGAACTCGTAGACTCCGACCTGCGAACTAGTCCATAGACACAACCACTGAGTTTCTCGCCGGATCTTCTCAGTGGGTCGCGATTCCAATCCGGTAGTAAATTCATTCGCGAAGCAGCTGCTCTTGAGTTGCCAGGCCTCCTTTGGAGGCGCTCGGGTAGCTGTTAGCAAATCCCACCCCTCCTGGCTGAGCCCTTACCCGCCATGGTAAAACTGAAAAGGCCTCCAGGCCACCAGTAATCCTTTCTTCATAAAAAAAACGAACTAAGAAAAACCAATAATTAAACCTGAAATTCTGGGTTCACGGCTGGGTACAAATGAAATATACGAAGTCGGTAACTTACAATAGTTTATTGAGGAATCATTACATGCGATCACAGCCTAGCTGTCTCTATGAAGCGGTCGCTCCGTGCTGTGAGGCAGAGTGAACTTACAAAGTGTTACGTGCGCTTTACATCACCTCGGGAACGCACAATTAAAAACTCAATAAGACAAAATTACGCTTAAGCTAAAACAAAAAACAAACAAAACAATGAAACTAACGTTTTTATTAGCACGATTTGATAATATCGGGAGAGCGGAAAGGGTATCTGGTTTAAGCGATATTTATCTTTTACTAGCTAACCCGGCAGACTTCGTAGTGCCTTAATCGATAAATAAAAGACACAAACAAAAGGAATCCGTCTGACGGGGGGACATCAAAAGAAAAAACAAAAATGTTATTTTTATTTATTTCCAAGCATTTTCATATTTATTTACCTTTTAAACCTTCTCTGGACTTCCACAAATAATTCAAGACCAAAATTAGCCAAATCGGTCCAGCCGTTCTCGAGTTTTAGCGAGACTAACGAACAGCAATTCATTTTTATATAGTATAGAGATAATTAAAAGTGGGTTTTATTTGGTGTTAGATTTAACAGTTCGATGTTTTTAATTGAACCTCAATTAAGTTTACTCCATTCAAATGCGTGAAGAAGTTTTTTTTTATGATATTTTTTTCAAATTCTAACCTTTAAATGGCTCTTCCGTAAAGTTGTAAAAATGTCGCCAAAGTTGAATAGCCTTTTGCCTATCGACGTAGTAGCATCGTATATCGTATGTGCGTTCCCAAAGCGTTCGTTTATAACGTGCTCGCGAACTAGGCGCTCGTCCTATCACAGTTTTTCGTCTATCACTGAACGACACCAGTGGAAAGCTAAATATGTTTTATACATTTCGGGAATTTTACACAACAACTTCTAAAACGTCCGTTTCGAACGAACGTTTCTTAATAAATGAACATTCAGCGCCATCTTGGTTTGAACAACGGAACTACTGTCGCAATTTATGTTAGATTTAAACTAATTTTATTCAAAATGTAGAGTTAATTTCTAAGTGGATGATCAGACTATAATTTGATTCACTCTATATTTGCTTGCGACTGAAATGAATAAAACATATTTCACAAACTATAAATATTATATAATATGCAAAAGTGAAAATTCTCGCGTATTTATCTAAATATCACATGAATGAGTGGGTTTTTTAAAGACTAGTATTATTATTTTTCAAACATACATAAATCTAGATTTTTGTGTTTGTATTATTATTAATATTTTCATGTTATATTGAAACACAAATAACCTGAATCGATTCAACTAGCTACGACTAGATTTTTACCAGAAATCAGGAGGGTTCAATTTATGGCGAAGACAAAATACTTATACTTTATTGCAATTACGAAGTCCCTTTTGATATAGCTTAGAACGTAACTCTTTACGTTTCGCTTAATTTGAAATAATAATGATTTTTTTATTCATGGTCGTAAATCATCATTTAAAAATACATAATCAATCTAAATCATTATAAAATTAATTCACATACACAATAACATAATAATATCATCTGTCAAATAGGACTTCGTAATTGGAATAGATAAAAGGTGCAGTTTTCTCGGCCGTTCGAGACAGTTTTTTTTTTATTTAGTTACCTACTATATCCAGTTAGGGAATTTTCGATACAATTATTTTTTTGGAAATATATTTTATTTTCAAAATATCAATATAACTTAAGGGCGTTAGTAATGATGTTTGAAGTTTAATTAATTACTCAAATATAAATTAGAAAGAATTTAAGAATTTCAGATAAGTCAACATTTACATTAGGTATACATTATTATTAAGTCAGCCGAGATCATAATGCACTCGACTATTTCATTTTCAAATCGATTAAGCATTTTATAAAACCCTTATCTCCACAACAACTCTCAATATCAACAATTCTATAACAAACATTCAATTCCTCAATTTCTGGTAAATTTAGCTAATATTTTCAATTTATTTTTAAACACGTCGTGTTTTTTTGAAATATTTATACTGAAGCATGATTCTTGTACCATGATCATACCAATTTTACGAGAGAAATCTCAAGTTTCAAGTTTTTATGTGAAGTTAGTTTTTCATTATGTAATTTGAAATTATTATAATATACCTAATCGAATTTCGTCAAACTCTGAAGTGACTCTGAAAAGCTTGTGAATAAAAATTACATGTACTGTAAAACCTCATAAAACTGTTTTATTTATGCCAAAATTATTTGATTGATTCGCAAGCAAGCAAAAAGCACTGTCTTCTGACGACATACTTTCGCTTGCTACATCCGTGTTTAAAATTAAATTCGTTTTTTTTTATATCAGAATTTAGGCGGGTGCTCAAAACATCAGTACTCCCCCCTTTTAGATTTTTCCACCCGAAGAACTTCTTTCACATTATTATATAAAGAGAAAGAATCCGAATAAAGAGAAAGATTCTCAAGCCGTCAATTTTAATGACGTTATAATTTGTAGACGTTTATGTAAATGACAATGCATAATTGTAATTATGTAAAACTTTTCCTATTCAATAAGTCATTTTCGGGAGATTCCCATTTGCGGGGTGCGGCTTCACAGCAATCCAATTTGATCCCAATTTCAAAATTATTATTACGTCAATATTCATTCAAACATGTTTTTAAAATATTAACAAGTTAGTTTAATAAATTTTAAATTTATTTCACACGAATTTAAAAATTATTTTTCAATAGTCAACATTATAATAGATATAATACATTTTTTTTCCTCACTTTTACGCATCACGCAAAACGTGAACAAGACGAGAATAATTACACAAATATTTTTAATTGCTCACAAAACAAAATTACACGATACCAAAATTAATTTAATTACTAGTAAACACATTTAATAATAAGGTTATTTTTAAAATTATCACAAATTAAAAACACATATTCTTCGCTTATAAGCTTTTATCGTTTTAAAGATTTAAGAAAAATGTGGCTATTTAAAAAAGTGCAAGTCCTAATTATTTAAATTAAAAAATATATTCATATTTATAATGTCAAATTGAAAATTTTAATGTATGAAAAATGATATACTATTATGTCATTTTCATTTAAAACTAGATAATAAATAATAATCATTAGATGGTAACTTATATTACAATATGCAAGGTCCTCCAATAAATAAATAACAAATAAACGGTTATGTCATGAAATTCAATTAAAATTTGTAAAATATATCATGTAATTGGCAAAATACTTACAGCAGATTCACATTTATAATGTAAATATGAAACATGTTCAATTGTATATTTTTAAATAAATTCAAATTAAATAGTACTTAAAATAAAACTGTAATATAGGGTAAAGGCTTTACCGTCTGTTTGTTTGTTTAACAATAAGCCGAACACAATTATTCTGTCAAGATTTTTTATTTTTTTATGTTATAGTTCAGTCTAGATATTGTTTTTGGAAATATATTTTTTGTGAATTGTGTGTATTTTAATTATTAATCATTTTAACATTCAATGTTATATTTATGGTTCGTATTTCGCGTTTATTATTTTCTCTCTCATTATATTCAACGTTACGAATACTATTTCTTGATCAAGAAAGAAATTAAGTCAAGTTATACCCAAAAAATTATATATCACATAACAATCGTGCAGTACATTGACTCATTCCTTTTTGATAATGGCATGTTGAAAAGAAAAAAACAATTAATTGACAACCCTACAGCTCTACTGTAGCCACTAAATAAGTCAGTCCGACAGAAGCACCCGCCGCCTGCGGACGTGCTCACCGACCACTCAATCGCCCGGCCATTGTTCGCCTGGTTTTATTGTTAGCCCGGCCTTTGTTCACCCGGCTTTTGTTCGTGGCACATCTGCCGACAAAGTGTGTTTCTGGAAGTGTTTGTTTTGTTTTGGTTTATTTTGTTGTTTCCTTTTTTTTTTGTTCTTTCTTTTNATAAAAAAAAAAAAACTAAATAAGAAAGAGAATCGGTCGACAAATAGAAAATGCCACTGTTTGCCTGTTTATATATATGTGTAGATTTTTTTATTATTATTTATATATATGTGTAGATGTTATGTATGTGTGTGTAGATTGTTAAAGCCATCCAGAAGTTCTATAGTGGGCGTTAATCCGGCATTAAAATTTTATTATAAGGAAGTTCAGAAACCACAGTTTTACATATATTGCTGCTGTATATACATTACATGCTATTTAACTATGTACATATGTATTTATTTTTGATAAAATCCCATTATAATAATTTATTACTTAAAATATTATTGATTTTATTTTTAAATAAAGCACAGTGAATATATATATTATATATTTTTGAAACGGGCGGATTATTTTGCATATTAGCGGTTTCTATCGAAGTGATAAATTTTGAGAGTTAGACATTTTGAATGTTGCAATTCGACGCTGGCAACACATTCGTGTTTAGTTGTTAATGATGGTCACACCGGAGTGATATAATCTGTGCCCAGTTCTAGAAGTTTTGTCGTCGATTTTGAATTGGAATAGGTCCATACACAAGCTTAGCTTGATATTAAGAGATTAGCAAAGGTCAAGGGAGGCATGATTTCAAAGTCCAGCCAAATAGAAAACTGGTACTAATTCATATGAGCTCATAACACACATCATATGGAATTCATACCTCAAATAGAATGTGATCTCAACTAATATTAGCGCTTATGTCAAGGTAATTTTGCGACATGTATAGACTCCGGTAACCACTTAACAACAGATGATCCGTGAGCATTAGCTCTTTCTATATATTAAAAGTTATTTGACTTTTTTCAATCTTAATAATTTACATACATAATTTCACCTGTATAATTAGTTCCTTTGCTTATATTATACAATTGAAAGGCAATGTCATGAAAGCTTACATTTTCTTATTACTATTTATTAACTTTTTTGTTTGTTTCATAGTTAATGTTTTTTTTTGTTAATTAAAAATAAAATACGCAATGTGTAAATAAATAGACTTAATCAAATAAATTGATAGCTCTTAAGTGACGAAAGATGGATGCGTTATTGTTAATGTTATTTTGGATTGGCAGATTAAATCGTTGCTTCAATAAATTATCAAACCCTGGGCTGCAATCAATTTTTTTAGCTCGGCGCGCAATGTAACACAAACAACTGATATGACGCGTGGGGTCGACGACATTACGTTTACGAACTAAATTAAATCACAAATATTTCTTGATATTAGACGAGTATATTGTTTTTTTTTTTTTCATAGGCTCCATCCATAAATTGTTTTTTGGAAGTGAATTCTTTTTTAGCCTAATTATGAATTGAAATTCGGTTAACGAAAAATAGTTACACTAAAAATTATTTATCGATGCACTAGAGAACCTCCTTGTCGAAGTCGGTTGACGAAGATCGAAGAACATATTATTAAGTGCACGAATTAAATATCTTTTAGATATTGGGTTTGATTTCTGTTTTGAAATTTCAAAACTATACATATTATGTTCATTGCAAATATTTGCGAGTAGGCTGACGTGCTCTATGATGGCAAGTGGTTGTGGGAGCCCAAGGACAGATGCAGACGGACATTAGACATCAGGCGAGCCGTCAGCCTGTCCACCTAATTCGAAGCGTGACCGTAAAAGAAATGTTATAACTAATTGGAATTGACGTTAAATTAATTAATTGACCAAACGGTATGAGGTGGGAGTGGAGTATAACGTCACGGCGCTGTGCGACCGCGCCGACGTAGGCTGCGGTCCCCGGGCTGCACTACGGGATGCGCACCGACTGCAGCACCTTGCTGGCCTGCGGACACACAAACAACATAATAATTTAGCTTTAAATTTATTATCGTTGTACATATTTAAAAATATATATATTAGGAACTTTCATCAAACCCTAAAAGGTTTCATTCGTTAGAACACATACAAATAAAAATGCATTTTTACTTTTCAAGTCGGTGGTGGGACGTCTTGTGAGCCCGCACGGGTTGTAAGTGTTACGGGGTGGATTCAGGGGCACTTTTAAAAACAGGAAACTGTGATTGACACAGTTTATTTTATACAAGAAATCGTGGAAACGATGTGTGTTACCGCTGCTCAAGCCAATTCTGTTCTGCCGCAATTTAGCAATAAATCGTTTATGTATAGAGACGATGCATTCAGGAATGCCTTACCTATAGTAGAATTATTTTTTCCGTGCAGTTTGGGTCATAAAAAATCGGAGCGGTGAAGCGAGTATTTCGCTCTCTCTTCCACTCACGAGCCTTATGGACGGGCATAGTGATGTGCATTATTGTTGTCGATAAGCGTTGTCGATAGTGTATTTAGTTTTGTGGTCATTTTATGGGTTAGTGATAAAAATGAAAGAAAAATCACTAATCGAACACTTACACCACATATCGCCGCAGCAAGTTAACGAGAACGGCAGAAATTAACACTTTGTAACTTTTCGGAATCTATTCTTATTTCAGTGAAAATTTTTAACACATTGTTGATAACAACAAGGTGGGGGTGGGGCGGCCATTATTACAATTCAACTGAGATTTAGACTTATATATGCAGATTTAACATTGGTTGTTTCGTCTATGGTATTGGGATTCGTAAGGTCGGTAAAGTAGAGTGAGCTCTCCCCGACCGGTCATCGTTCTCGTCGAACCCGTCGCTTGCAACGATGGACTCGACGAGTAAATTAACCCTCAGACACAGCCCACTGAGTTTCTCAGCGGATCTTCTCAGTGGGTCGCGTTTCCGATCCGGTGGTAGAATTTTTTATTTTTTTTTTTTTTTTTATTGCTTAGATGGATGGACGAGCTCACAGCCCACCTGGTGTTAAGTGGTTACTGGAGCCCATAGACATCTACAACGTAGAGGCGCCACCCACCTCGAGATATAAGTTCTAAGATCTCAGTATAGTTACAGCGGCTGCCCCACCCTTCGAACCGAAACGCATTACTGCTTCACGGCAGAAATAGGCGGGGTGGTGGTACCTACCCGTGCGGACTCACAAGAGGTCCTACCACCAGTAAGCACGGCCCTTGCTAGGGTTTGTGTTAGCAACGTTGTCAGGTTTGAGCCCCGTGAGCTCACCTACTAGTTAAGGTTACGCTGAAATAACTTCTCAAGGCTATCATCAGCTTAGGTAAGAAAAAAAAATCTCTCCCCTACCTCGTACTCCTCGTCGCTGGCCATGAGCCCCGTGACGCACAGCAGCTGGTACTGGCGCGCCCGAAGCGCCGGGGAGCCCCGCCGCAGCAGTCGCAGTGCCGTGCTGCACGACGCCGTGCTGCCACACAGCACTTGCCGCACCTGACACACAACACACACACAGCGCCGTCTAGTGACGAAGATACAGCGCCATTTAGTGACCAGGGGCGGACTAGACAAGGATATAGCCCCATCTAGTGACTAAGGGAGGACTAGGCCAGATATATATTTTTTTTATTGCTTAGATTGGTAGACGAGGTCACAGCCCACCTGGTGTTAAGTGGTTACTGGATCCCATAGATATCTACGACGTAAATACGCCACCCACCTTGAGATATCAGTTCTAAGGTCTCAAGTATAGTTACAACGGCTGCCCCGCCCTTCAAAGCGAAACGCATTACTGATTCACGGCAGAAATAGGCAGATATAGCATCATCTAGTCATACAGGAAGGACTAAGCCAGATATAGCGCCATCTAGTGATGAGGGGAGGACTAGGCCAGATATGGCGCCATCTAGTGATGAGGGGAGGACTAGGTCAGATATAGCGCCATCTAGTGATGAGGGGAGGAATAGACGAGATATAGCTCCATCTAGGCCAGATATATGGCCATCTAGTAAAGAGAGGGCGTACGAAGACGAAGCATTGAGTCAAGCTGAGATAGATCGAGTCAAGCTCAGTTTAAGGGGAATTTCAAAATGCCAGATCGTTACCCTTAAGACATGAGGTCGGGTTGTAGTCTAGTCGCCAATGGTAAGCTGCACCGTTCATCGCATAGTGTTGTGAAGGGTGAAACTCAATGAGCGTTGTTTTAATGAACGCGCCGGAATGGAGCTTAACGTCAACTGTCAACCTGATCACATGTCATGAGGCGCCCTTCTGTTTTTTACCGTGTTTTCGGAAACTCATAAAAATGCTCCAACGTTACATTTAATTGCATTCATTTAGTTATGTACTTGTGTGGAGTTAAATTAAAGGATTGATAAGTTACGGTGTTTGCTTACTACACTTTTACAAGCGTGTCCGAAGAATAAATAATCATTACATGTTTTTTTTTTTTTAAAGAATTGTGAATTCTAAGCTGAGAACATCTTATATAAACTTTTGAAGCGGTTGAAATAGTTGCGTAATATTTTAGCGGTTCCAAAGTAGTTTCTTTTTGTTTTTTATTAACTTTTGTAATTGTTGTACACAGCATCACGCAGACCGCAGGGGAAAAAATTAGAGCAAGTTATGTCAATCGCGAATTGTTTTGTTCGCCAATCGAATTTCGTAAATCTTCAACTCTTACTGAGAATTATAGAACTAACTAAAATTAGACTAAAAAGTCAAGTTACCTTAGGCCGTAATAAAATTGTGAAAAGGACTGAAGTTCTCGAAGACAACAATAGATTACCACTTTAATATGACTGGAGCACAAATTTTTGCTGAAATAATTGTATTCTGAGCGAACGAGAGCCGGCAATGTATCACTAATTATTATTGTTGTTATATTGCTTGCTTGACGGCGCATTAGTTGAAGCCTATGATCGAGGCAGTGGTATACTACACACATCACATCGGGTAGACGTGTCTTCAGTACCTCTACCTATGTGTTTAGTACCACTAGATTGCTTTTTTATTAGGAACAAATCACGCACGGTAATCCGGGCCTAATTCAAGATTCCCTGTGTGTACCAGAGACTGACAAAAATACCGTTACGCCGGCAAGAGTAACGCCATCTATCGGCGAATAGCCGAAACAAACCTCGAAGGATCTAACACCTATAACGCTCGAAAAGTACAACGCCATCTATTATCAGATATCGGAAACACACAATACTAGACTTTGGTAGAGTATTCTCGACGATTCTAGGTATTGCGGAAGAAGCGAATTGAGAATTTTAAAGTGTTCTAAGTGAAAGTTACACTTTGGTGGAACATTATTTATCCCGAACCCCAGCGCGTAATAATACTTATATATGTTTAAAATATACATACATATATAGATAATGAACACCAAGACAAAGAGCAAACAAAGCGGTTCGTCACACGAACGTTTGCCCGATGTGGAAATCGAACCCACGACCCTCGGCGCAAGTCAGGATCGCTAATAACTGCACCATTGAGTCAGTAAATATATTTAGACGTAAAAGTATGTCGGTCTCTGGTGTCCATAGTACAGGGGTCATAGTTAAGAGCCAGATGAGCGAGTGTGACTTTGTGGTTATTTAATTATTTATTTATTAGGTATTTATTGTATTACCTGGGAGGGCGAGTGAGAGGGATCCAACACGAGTAGCGTCGCTTTACCATCCTTGTGTTTCTCGTAACCGATTATAGTCCGAGAGTGACCTGGGAAAAAACAACACTTTTTAGTCTAAGCGGTTGGCGGAGGTGTCGGGGAGGTGCGAATGAGAAGGTGCGAACGAGGAGGTGCGGGCGGGGAGGTGCGAATAAGGAGGTGCGAGCGGGGAGGTGCGAACGAGGAGGTGCGAATGAGGAGGTGCGAACAAGGAGGTGCGAGCGGGGAGGTGCGAGCGAGGAGGTGCGAATGAGGAGGTGCGAACGAGGAGGTGCGAATGAGAAGGTGCGAATGAGGAGGTGCGAACGAGGAGGTGCGAGCGGGGAGGTGCGAACGAGGTGCGAACGGGGAGGTGCGAATGAAGTGTGAACGTGAAGGTGTGAACGTGGAGATGCGAACGGCGAGGTGCGAAGGAGGAGGTGCGAATGAGGAGGTGCGAACGAGGAGGTGCGAACGAGGAGGTGCGAACGAGGAGGTGCGAGCGAGGAAGCGGCGTACCTTGGTGCTGCAGGTAGAGCGGCGGCTTGAAGGCGGCGGGTTGGTCCCGGAAGTACTGCAGCACCCAGTCAAACAGCGCGGGGTGCCCGCCGTCTGCGCCCGTTGGCCGGTGGAAGTCGATCAGCTGGCATCTGGAGACAGGGGGGAGGTGAGCTCACGGACTCAACCTTAGAGAGTTTGCTAACACTGGCCCTAGCAAGAGCAGTGCTTCGCAGAATCTATCACCGCACCGTACAGTTTCTCTTCGAATCCCCCTAACGTTAAATATCCGGGTTACCTTATCCTGAGTGAGGACAGCACCGTGACCACCTCGCAGGCGCCGATCCACTTGCGCGTGTTGTACAGCCTCGAGCCCAGCTGCTCCGAGCCCTGCACACACAAGGGGCAGCGGTCAGCGGGGGGCGCAGGGGTGCGGGGGGCGCAGGGGTGCGGGGGGCGCAGGGGTGCGGGGGGCGCGGCTTGCGCGGCATCACCTGGGTGTCGAAGCCCCGCTGCCAGGCCCTCTCCACCAGCAGCTGCAGCCGCGGCAGGGAGGGCACGCACTCGCACTCCCTCTCGTTATTGCACTTCAGCAGCGGAGCGTACTGAGGGTTCTTCATCAGGGACGACACCAGCATTTGCATGTTCCTGTATCGCGAGGGTATCTTGTGAGACGGTATGCCTCTTGCACGATCAACATTGAGGACAATTGTTTCCGAAATGCTTAACAAATTAGTGAGATATGTACGTAGATACATGATAGTTCAGTTGCGAGCTCAACCACTGTTTACATATTACTAGTCTGCTGGCTATTCACGAACGAAATCTGATGAAATTTTGTCACAACTGATGTGACTATATCGTGGACGTGTTGCGAACCCACGAGGGTGGATACCGCTGCAAAGTTCGAATCGGTCATGCGTTTCGGTTCACGGTTTCGGGACCTCACGTCTCAAGGTAAATAGTCGCATTGACGTTGTAATGTTTATGAGCTGTGACAACCGCTTCACGGTGAGCGGACCGCGAGCTCGTTACAACATAACAAATATTGTCAAAGATTAACTGGAACGTATAGAATCTTCTTTAACTTGTGTTCACCCAATGCTAGGTCTCTTCATATGCACCGCATTCTCTTCGGTCTGTCACTTTTCGCATCCAGTCCCCACCAGCTATTTTAACCAGTTTCTCGATCCAATTCATTGTTTATCCGCCCATGTTACGACGTCCAGTACGAGGTCTCCACTCTAGTACTTTTGTGCCCCACCGATTGTCAGTGTAACAGCATATAGGGCCGGCTCACTTCCACTTTCTCCGAGCAATCTCTTTGGCTATATCCGTCAAACCAGTTCTTCTGGCGATTTCGGTGTCGCACACCCTAACCCGTAGAGAAATGCCTAACATAGCCCCTCGAATGGCTCTTTGCGTGACTTGGATCTCGGTCAGCGGTTACTGGAGCCCATAAATATCTACAACGTAAATGCGCCACCCACCTTGAGGTATAAGTTCTAAGGTCTCAGTATAGTTACAACGGCTGCCCCGCCCTTCAAACCGAAACGCATTACTGCTTAGCGGCGGAAATAGTCAGGGTGGTGGTACTTACCGGTGCGGACTCACAAGAAGTCCTACCACCAGTAATTACGCAAAATATAATTTTGCGGGTTTGATTTTTATTACACGAAGTTATTCCTTCACCATGGAAGTCAACCGTGAACATTTTTTAAGTACGTATTTCATTAGAAAATTGGTACCCGCCAGTGGGATTCGAACACCGGTGCATCGCTAGATACGAATGCACCAGACCTCTTATCCACGATGGCTTCAAATGCCCTCGACGTCAATGTCTCGGCCCCGTATACCATCACAGGAAGAACTATTTGTGGTGAAGTATTACCTGTAGCCGCAGCCCCAGCCGCGGTCCCCGTACGTGCTCGCGTAGTGGTCCACGGCGCTGCACAGGTACGTTTTCACTATACTAGGGTTGTGAGCGTTTAGTTGAGCTATCCGTTCTAAGAGACCTGCAAGGAAATAGAAAAATTAGACAAGATTCTCAACCATTACTTTATTAGTAACAAAGAATTACAGCAAATAAATCGATTAGTGACTTCAAATCGATTCGTTATCTATTTATTTAATATGTATTTTGTAATCTATATATTAATAGGTGAAGCAAAAACCATGTACCTTTTTTACGAAAATTGCGCGGACGGAGGAGTGTGAAATTTCACACACATATAGAGAATCTTTATGAGAAGGAGTGTAGAATGTTAACCTTTTTTTAAATTATGCATAAAAAATGCAATAAACATTTAAAAAAAACATTAGACACTTTTCCATGTTTACTGGTGGTAGAACCTTTTGTGAGTCCGCGCGGGCAGGTACCACCACTCTGCCTATTTCTGCCGTGAAGCAATAATGCGTTTCGGTTTGAAGGGTGGGGCAGCCGTTGTAACTATACTTGAGACCTTAGAACTTATCTCAAGGTGGGTGGCGCATTTACGTCGTAGATGTAGGGCTCCAGTAACCACTTATCACCAGGTGGGCTGTGAGCTCGTCCACGTATAAAAGCAATAAAAATAAAAACATTTGACACGTAGCATACTATTTCAAACTATTTGTTTGTTGTCAAAATTTTTTTATTGCGTTCTATAGTCTGTAGTCAAATTGAGAATAGAATAAATATTGTTTGTCTTTATTAATATTTGCCTAAAGTGTATGTAGTCTTGGCGAAATCTGTGAATTCTGTGAATATAGAAGTAACAGTCTTTGACAATAGAATCATAATAGTGTACAAACTTATAATTTCAATTAATTATAGTCGAATTTCCACTACCGGGAGACCACTAGTAATATATTAATATATAATAATATTATGTTAAAAGATAAAATGTATGTTTAGTATATAGAGATTATTGATTTGATCATAAGTATATAATTACTCTTTATATTTGTATGTATAAAATAGTAATATTATAATTTTTCATTTATATACATAATCGTTTTCAATCACTAAGTACGCGGTAGGTAGTTTTTTTCCTTAGGAGCTTCTTGACTCCACCTGATTTCTGTCTGGCAGAGATCACTCTTAGTGCTAAGACTGCTCATTGTACTTTTAATATTTAATGCTACGCATTTGATTTGATATTATTTTGATATACAATAAAGGAGTCGTCTATTATCAAAGGCGGCAATCTGTGCATTTGCACAACAAAATTTTATTGATATGTCAATACAGATTTATTTGAATATAATCGTCTCCTTCAAAGAATACGGTTCAAAACCTGCATTAAATAAAGGTTAATAGTTAACCTGTTATTTATCTAAGATGTCGTTCCGAAGAGTTTTGTGACTGCCGATGTAATACAAAGTCAATAATTCGTTTTTCTGATTTACCAATAATTGTCCAAAAGTCAGATTGCCGCCTTTGATAATAGTCGACTCAAAGGAAACTTATTCTACTATAAATTTTGAAGCACTGATTAAAAATTACCTTCTCTTTAAAAATAAAAGTGTCAAAGTGACAATAAAAGTGGAGCGTGTCAATAATTACCAGCTTATTTTGACGTTTAACAATTTGAAATTTGAACATTTGCAAGTGCTACGAAGTACAATTCACAGTCTCCCTTACGTTGAGTCACCGGTGAAGTGAACCGAGTACCGCATATCCATAGATACAGATCTCGGTAGGTCGCGATTTCGATCCGGTGGTATATTCAGCGAGGCATTGCTCTTACTAGTGTTAGCAAATTTTTTTCAGGTGGAGCCCTGGGACTTATCTAACCTCCTCCTAATCCTCGTAAAGCTGGAATACGTTTTTAGGCTACCAGCAAATAGGTAGAAAAAAATGGCACTCGGGGACTGCAGCGGTAAAGCTATTGCATAATTTTTTTATCAGCTTATCAATCATAATTAGACAATGATAATTTAATATTAAAACAATAATATAATAAGATCACGTTATATTTATAAACATTAACAAAGGCAAAACATTAACCGTCCCCTTCACACTCATAAACTAGACCGCGCGAGAGAGAGATAGGCAGACTTTTCATGATGCACATGCAGTGCGACGTCACGCCGCGCGCTTATTCACAAATCCTACACAAGCGCAACGTGTGGATGCGTTGAACGCGAGCTACATGGTAGGCGGAGTGGGGGTGTTAGGTTTTATTTTCGTTACGGAATTTCTTGATTCGGTCGCCGCGCTCAAAGCCCGCGATAAAAGCTATGCGATAGTTTAAATTAAAAAAGAGGTACCTACCATGTGTCCTGGAGGCGCCGGTGTCCCTGGCGGGGCGGCGCAGGCCCCGGCTCCGCTCGTAGTAGTCGGGCACGGACAGCGCGCCGCTGTACACCGCGCGGCGCAGCCCGCTCTCCTCGCGCTGCGCATACGACTCCTCTTCCTCTTCCATGCCGTACTGAGCCTGCACAGAGTTAATAGCCTGTATAATTTTTTTATTGCTTAGATGGGTGGACGAGCTCACAGCTCACCTGGTTTTAAGTGGTTACTGGAGCCCATAGACATCTACAGCTTAAATGCGCCACCCACCTTGAGATATAAGTTCTAAGGTCTCAGTATAGTTACAAAGGCTGCCCCACATTTCAAACCGAAACGCATTACTTACTTCACGGCAGAAATAGGCGGGGTGGTGGTACCTACCCGCGCGGATTCACAAGAGGTCCTACCACCAGCGTGTTGCGACGGCTTAGCCATCCGCAATGAGGAGTGTCGTGGCGTGCAACCTCTTTGACAGGACATAAGATCTACTTTTTTCCCTACCTTTAGCTTTAAGAGGCTATTTCAGGCTACGATATCATACTCACACAATATTCTTTTTCACACATGTAAATATTCTGTGTAAATTTTTATCTGCTAATAATATTTATCTTTAAAGTAGTTAGTCTAACATATATATTTTATTTGTACTGCTCTTAAAATCACAGATTCGAGTATGAAAAAACGGACCAAATTTATTTGTATTTAGTAAAAAAAATTCTCTCTAAGCACCTGTCATTTTTGTACTTACTTTGACACTGGCAAATTGAATGCCCAAGGGATTGGAGCCAAATTCTTATTAAAAAAAAAACTTTTTCTATTAATTTAGTTTTCTGATCTTCTCAGGTTTTTTTTTTAATATTTCAATATTCACATTTCTAATTACACATTATTCATGTAGCATGTTACCATTCCCCTCTTAGCTGAGCACACGCATGCTCATCTGTCCTGGTGGAACTGGCCTCTGGTAATGCCTCAATCATAAAGAAAAGCATGTTACCTGTCACATTATCCATATACATAAAAAGAAAAATATGCTCTATATTAAACATTATCCACTCATGTCAATAGCATTAAACACCTCTTTACCTTGACACGTTTTGACACAAATGGTTATTTCTATTAAGCCTTAGTTAACTTAAGGAAACCTTAGAACACCCAGATTGTTTCTGTATTCAAAATTTTAATTACCCTAAGCATTTGAAATTCTTGTTGTTCCCTGTTCCTCTGCGCTTCTCTTTCTGCTGTAGTTAATCCTGATGCACCATCTTCTCCCCTCTCAAAATGCTCCTCAATATGTTGTATCTGAGAACACAAGAATATTTCATAGCTGTATGTAATAATGTAGTTATATCTGAAAATTTGAAAACAGAGATGAAGAATTGAAAAATCTTAATAAAGATTTTGCTCATACAACATCTTCAACAGATAAACTTGTAATTTTTGAAAGAAAAAAATCAATATACATTCAAATCACAAAAAGTTCTTACAACTGCTGACCGATAATTGTATGCTATTTGATTTTGCATTTTGATTGTCTATCAAAATGTAATAAGTGTAGTTACAATGATGTTGATGAACCCACAGCTGCTTTAGCATGAAGCTTCTACTGTGCCTACCCTATATGTACAATTTCTCCAGAACAGGATTGGACAAGATGGTGTACTGGTACTGGCATTTACGTTCAGAAGTAACTAATATTGCAAATTTGACTTTGTAATATGGTAAGGAATTCATTTATGGTAGTAGTTGTTTGTGAGCACATGTAAGTTTTATAATTGATTAGAATTCAAAGTTACCTCATCATTGAATTGTGGCATAGCACCTTTATTTGCATTAATACCAAGACTCACCAATTCATGTTGTGACAGTGGCAATGGTTGACAGCAAACTGGACAATTGCTAACTGGACTCTCTTCCATCATGACTATATCGTCACATGACGCATTGTCTATTTGATCCTGCAAATAAATTATTATAATTTTTTTTAATTCTGGTTAGAGCAGTAGCTGTGAAAAAGGTCACTTAGCTGCTTTATTTACAGAAATGATTAGACAGCAGAACTGACTGTTGGAGATTACAAATTACTCTATGAATGAATACTTAGCTTTTGTTTTTTTATTAGTAGTAATGAGTTTGGACTGAACTCCTTTCGGCTGTGTTTTTTGAGCACTATGACATGTTCTTCTTCAAAAGAGGCTTGCGTAAAGTACTTAGTAGTAGGCAGCAGCTTGGCTCTCTCTCTAGCATTACTGACATCTATTTTTGAAGATATCCACTAACCATCAGTAGACGGTACGCTAGTCTGGCTATTTGAATGAGAAAGATACTACAAAACTTACATCTTTCTGTGGACTTAATATATCCTTGTGATCCACATTCACGTGGACCTCCAGATCGGACGTGTTCACGAATGTACTTTCGCAGATCGGGCATTGGTATGATGAAGCATGAGGTCCAGGTGACATAGCCATTGTCAGGGCCAGAGTTGGGTTCTCCAGGGTTATCGTCGGGTTGGACAAGCCCAGGGTCGGATTGTCTGAGTTAGCATTCGCATTTGCATTCAAAGACGGTGATGTCAAATCGAAGTGCGCTCGATTTATATGTTCTTCGAGTTTTCGCGGGCATGTCGATTTGAAATCGCATAGAAGACACTGTAATATTAAAGTTTCTATATAGATTTGATCGGAAAAGTTGAGCTTAGAAGTGAATGCAAGCTGCCGAATTCATTAGATTGTATGTATGGATTTTATTTGTGTGCAGTGGAAATGGTAAACCTAAAAAGTAAATAAGTAGTTGGTAAACAAAAACAGACAATTGGCATATGTCATTCCTGCAAAAACAATTTGACATTACAAATTTGACACTAGGGATGTCGGTGCATACCACTGAAGCATGACTATGGTGCATACACTTTGATGTTAATCACAACTTAAAGATACATGTTTGTTATTATGAGTTGTTCAAACCTATTTTAACCAATTTGACACAGTGACAGTTTTTCTGATAAGTTGATCAATGATTTCCAAAAAATAGAGGGGCTTATTTACATTGCTATTGATCGGTGTGAGCTCAGTGACAATTTTTTTAATCAATAGTTCAATGACTGCTTTTTTTAGGTCAGTATAAAATCGCCAGATTTGCGACTAGGTACGCGCTAGGAGCGATAGGCGGGCATGCCGGAGTCGTACCTACTTAGCTCCCTGTCGCTCAACAACCTGTGTCCGAGCCTTGAAGGCAAAACTAAACAGTCCTGGAGTCCAGAGAAACCGGACAATGGGCTTCATATGTTGAAATATACTTTTAAAGCAAGTATAACATGAGCTCCTCGTTGGCCTGCATAAGCAAATAAAATATGTTTAACAAGAAAATCTAGATTACATTTTTCAAATGCTCACTTGCACTGTAGGACTCGGCGTGGGAGGAATTTTCTTAGGTGTGTTTGGTTTTAATTTTAATGCTAGTTGCGACCTCAGCGGCGAACCCTGACCAGCGCTCGTCAAATTTAGCTGTAATTATTTTTACAATTTAGAAATATTTTTAAGAGATTTTTAATAAATGAAGAGCTACAACAACAAGCCTACCTTATTTTTATTAGGAGATCCTTCATAGCTACCAGAGTTCTTGCTTGGACTAGAATGGACATCTGTAATATAGGCTAGTTAGTAATCTATGGTTCACAAAAAGGTCATTTAGTACTTTTAATAGGTATGTAAAAAATTACAAACCTTTTTTGTGCGAATTCATATCGTTTTCATTACAATTCTGCTGACCTTGAACAGCTTTATTTGTAATACCATTGCAAATGTTAATGTTTTTCACACCATTCGTTAATCCGTTGGTTAAGTCGTAAATATTCTTACTGCTGCCTTCGTCATTTCTGAATTCTTTTTCGTGTATTATGTCCTTTTCCGTATATCCATTGAAGTAGCTTGTGTTTTTCGAGATGGCTCCGTTATGGTACGACGACGAGGAATTGTCCGGACTGTGCCAGCCGTTTATTGAACCGGGTGTATTGTAGCTGCAGCTATCTGTTGTCATTTTAGAATCTTCGTCGAAACTGTTAGGAAAAGACAGGACTTATTCATTCACTATCCTTAACTGTCTCAACCAGGGTTTCCTCTCGACAATTCATTGACTGATCGAGAATCGAATGCAGGCTCTCGAATATAATAATAATTGTCAAACTTAACTACCACCATTAACTAAGGAGCCAATTACTTTTATGTGCTCCGATCTGTTTGGCGAATTATTAGGAAGGCGAATTAATCACATTAATACTCGTATGTTATAAATATCTGTTATTGTATAGTTGCAACTCATGTTAGTGGTACACCAAGCGCAATTATTTAACAATCATTCTGTTGGAAAAATATACTACTTAAACTAATCCACAAAATATCTACGACTGTTGTATTGATAATGTTAGGGCTTTATACACGGCTAATTTATCAACAGACCCTTCCACATGTTCATAAGAATATATCACGGAAACGTAAAATTGTAGGTATCCCTATAAAGAGTTTACTAACCTTGGACTCTGATCATCAATAAAGGCCATCAATTCTCTTTCTGGTGTCAGATAATGCAGATGTGCCCTCTGGACATGACCTACCAGCTGAGGTTGAGGCACTACACTGTCACAGAATGGACATTCTGGTCTTCCGGCCACATGGGCTTCGAGGGTATGAGACCGCATGCCTTCGTCTGTGAGGCCCTCGGCGCCACAAAGCTCGCAAGTGTATGGGAAAGGGCTCGTAGACATATTTGTTCTAGAATCAAAAATCAGATGATTGAAAGTTATTTTGGCGTAAAAAACAAAACTATAGGGCTATTTCGAAGTTAAGTTGTTGCTCCGCTCCGACCCGACCAAGAAAGACAAAAAGAGACCAAGATAGAAGAGAGCTCTCTCTCTCTCTCTCTCTCTCTCTCATGACTTTTGGGTTGCTGTTACGCATCGCAGTCGTGAAACTCGGCAGCGAAAAGTCGATATTGGTTTGCATGTCGGGGATATACTGCCATCCCTCCCATAGGGGGTAGTCCGTGAGCACAGGATCAATCGTTTCTAATTCACATCCGCAATTATTGCATTCTGACATCAGCTCAGTTCCTAGAAGCAATCATGCTCAGTCCGCATCTGCATCGCAAAGTGAGGTGTCTACAATCGTGGCTTGCGCTGATACGAGACCTGGAATTTACTGAGCGCTACGTCAAATCTGCTAATCCAGTCGACAACGGGTGCTACTCCAGCAGTGACACTCTGTCGCCCAGGTCACGTCCCACAGCAGAGTGCCAAAAAGCGACCTCTGTTATTAATACTTGGTTACATTAAGGTGAAGTTAACCAACGATTGATTATAAGGTTAATACTATTTTATAATATTTTCAATTGTAGTTGCTGAACAAGCCACAAATACTAACTGTCTCAAAATGAAGCCATAATAAAAATGTAATTCGTATTGTGATTATTTGTTATTGCCGTAAGAAGTACTGTGATCCAATACGGAATAATGTATAAATATACTAAGCACATTGGCTAAATATAATAGAAATCATGAAATTAAAAACGTTGTTTTTCAACACAAATCCAATCTACCTAGATCTGCCGCTAGCCAGTCTGTCTTTGAAGGGTGGGGCAGTCGTTATACAATAATGTCGACATCAATCTCCTACCTTCAGGTTTTGATGTCTACCACTTTAAAATTTTAATACCAGGTGGGCTGTGAACTAGTCCACTGAAACGAAAGAAAGCCTTCGTTCACTATTGCAGTGCGATTGTGAGCTGAATTCTTCTGACCGCACTGAAGAAATAATTTTAAATCACCCTTTACGATTTAATCTCGCGAATCAGATGTCTGTGACCACGAAAACTGTATCATTATTCGTAAAATCGGAGATGGTAAAATGAAAATAGCTGTAAAAACTTTAAAAAGATGTAGTTTTAATTATGTTTACGAATCGCGAAAACCGCAGAGGATACTACATTAAAGGTAATTGCGGTTTACTTATGGTACTTTTGTGTTGCACTTTTACTGGTATTTCTCATAGTTCTTTTTTACAAAATCCTACCTCATATAACACTAACTCTAGTGTAATTTTAATCGTAGCCACACTAAAAGCGAATTTATTATAAAATTTAAGAGTAAAAAATTCGTTGAACATAATTTTTAAGGCCTGAATACATATTTACAGATAGTCTGTACAGGTACAAATTGTTTTCATTGATTGGATTAGGTTTTTTGAGACACGTCCTTGACCTCAAAAGTAATCAAGATAATAGCCAAATTGATCTGCTTCGAAACAAAGTTGCCTTTCAAACTCAAAAACATTAAAGTAGGTTGAATCTATAAATCGATAATTTTACCGCATCTTTAGTTTTTTCATTAATTTGTTGTCAAAATTAAATTAAACATTCACTTCACAATAAAATGCGCTATAACTCTAAATAATTCCATTAAATCGGAATTTAGTTACATTATTACGTAACCCAGTTAAATTTGAATAAAAATAAGACAACATACATACTCGAAAACTTACCCGTAATATTAATTTATTGTCATAAAATAACCGGACACACCCGGCCCGAGCACAACACTATCTAATTGGTACAACACTTTTATTAAAAAAAATGGTAACTAGCATTTTCTAACATTTAAAATTATTAATTATGTTTTAGTTTACAAAAAGGCCTGGTTGGTTCGGTGCCATTCATGAAATTGTACGGCATTGAAAAAATATTAGGAAACTACGCATGCGGAATAGGAAGCCCATATCGGTGTCGCCTCTATCGTAATATTACGTAAACTTTTGCGGGGGAAAAATTTAGTTTTAATTTATTTCATTTAAACAACATTCTTAGAAAGACTTCATTGAATAAACTGATATTATTATGTTATTATTACAGATAATTGATATGAGTTTATTACAAAGTTTTTTGTAGAAAATTCTGTGGGATTAAGTGTTTTTATCTACGAAAACTAACGCCCTCTGCTGTTCCGCGTAGCAAATACATTGCAGGAAGGAGTTCTGTTTGTTCAATACCAAATACAGGCTGGATAAGTTACATGCGCGCTTTAAAAGATGGAGCACAAATAAATTTGTCAAACTATAAGGAATAGTGTAAGTGCTTAATGATAATATTTTATTTATATTAAGTCATGTAGTTATTATAAATATACCTATTTGATTAAGATTGATTTATAAATTTTATGTGACCAAAAAATTAATGGTAAAATATTGAAATGGCAAAATTATATGATGGTACTATTGCTTCTTTTTTCTTTGCATATAAGATCTTTATTTAACGTTTAAAATAAATATTGCACATATAAACTATATCTCATATGAAAATTCTAACTCCTATTTAATAGTGATTTTCAGTAATTCTTCCTGGAGCACTGCTGGTGTAGTGGTATCATGCAAGATTCCCATTCTTGCGACCCGGGTTCGATTCCCGGGCAGTGCATGCTTTTTACCGTTCAAAAAAATCTATAATTTATTGATTTCATTTATTATTTGTAGCACTGAACTTCAAACTCATCCTTAACCTATTTTGAGTTGAGTTTGAATGGAAATATTAAAAGATCGATTTTGAGTCATTTTATTGCAGTCAATACTCATAGTACTCCACTAGTATCAAGTTTTAAGTGAAAACCGATTCGCACATTTACTAAGCATCACTTGAGAACAGCTCGGCCTGTTAGGTTATTTCGGTTGGTTATGTTTGCAATTCTCAAGGGAACGCCAGGGAAGGGGGAGTTTAAAAAAAATAATTATAAAATCCACATGAAGCCTATCATACAGTTTTCGATATAGCGTGGTGCGGTTTAATTAACAGAATACTAGTGTCCACTAGTTTCTCGCCGGATCTTCTCAGTGGGTCGCGTTTCCGGTTCGGTGGTAGATTCTGTGAAGCACTGCTCTTGCTAGGGCCAGTGCTAGCAACGCTTCCGGTTTGAGCCCTGTGAGCTCACCTACATGTTAGTGTGAAGCTGAAATAGCCTCTCAACATGTCAGCATATGTAGGAAAAATAAAAGAGTCGTCTGTCAGTCTCAGTCAGTCAGTCAGTCTCAGTCAGTCAGTTTCAGTCAGTCAGTCTCAGTCAGTCAGTCTCAGTCAGTCAGTCAGTCTCAGTCAGTCGGTCGGAACGAAACTGTCGGTTTACCCTATCATTGTGAAATTATTTGTTGAGAGTTTCAATAATTATTAAAAGGTTTTGTTGACTTTTATTGCAATAAACCCAGTTCCATCGAATACGAATGATGACGGAACTGCCGCTCAGCCATCTCTGGCGCCGTAAAATAATAAAAGCGCGAAAGTTTTTAAGGATGTATGCTTGTGTAATAATAAATGATAATAAATAAATATTTAATAACAATCACGCCACATTATCTGGTCCCGTACTAAGTTCGTAAAGAACTTGTGTTACAGGTACCAGATAACGGAAATAAATGTAAGATTTTTATTATACACATACATATATTTAATAAACATCCATAACCCTGGAAAAGACATTTCTACATTTATCATACAAATATCTTCCCTTGGCGGGATTTGAACCCGCGACCCCCTTGTGTAGTGACCATGTCACTTACTGCTACAACAGACGGCCGTTAAATGATGTATGATGTATGTATGTTTGTTATTCTTTCACGGAAAACGACTGGATGGATTTTGATGAAACTTTACAATAATATAGCTGACTCATCAGAATAACACATGAGCTATAATTTATAAAGATATAGTGTGAAGTATCCAAAATATTGTTACGCACTGGGGCTCGGGATAAATAATAATTCTACCGAAGTACAGATTACAATTCTATTTAACTTAGAACATTTAACGAACACTTTAAAACTCTCAATTCGTTTCTTCCGCTTCGCTTCAGGTGATCCGTTTCGCTGTTTCGCATCAAGTAAATCCGATTAGTCTAACTGCCTTCGTGCCCTTTCTGCAATGCTTTTATAGTCGATACATCGCTAGATTTATCGAGAACATTCTGGGCAAGTCGAGTAGCTTCGATGTGTGTTTCCGCTATCTGACAATAGATTACGTTGTACTTACTTCTCAAGTGTTCTCTATGTTACTAGCTCCTTTGATATTCGTTTCTGCTATTCGGCGATAGATAGCGTTACGTTTACCGGCGTAACAATATAAAGATAAGAGTCTAGTATGTACGAAAAAATCTGCCATCTCATTTTGTTATTCAATAATAAATTACAGTTCCGGAAGCGGAGTGAGGACGAGTCGCTATTAAAAGTAACAGACTGACTGCTTTACTTTTTTCGTCTCTGAAATTTTGGCATTTCAAAATTTTGCCATGCCTCAAATCATGCCCCCCTAGGTCCGAGCCTCAGGGGCCTAAGTCCATACGTGAATCCATTAATGGGCTTGCGAGAGGCGAATGAATGATACGTCCCTTTATCGCGACACGGTGGTGGAGAGCTGCCGATTTAGAGTCATAAATAAGCGCGTGTGGCCCTGTGTAAGTGAAACGTTTTAAGCTCTGTGTGCTTAGTGCTAGTTTTTTAACGTTCTCGATAGCGTAAAAGTTAACCCAATTTTGTATGCAGTTGGAACAGCGCCCCTAGCGCCAAACGTACGCAAACGATCCCATTTCATACAAATATGAGCTAACTTTTACGCTATCGAGAACGTTAAAAAACTCGCACTAAGCACACTGATTATCCACGGAAAATAAAAACGAAAAAAAAACTTCTCTCATGTTCCTATATCGAATTAGTTTAAGTTTTAAGAATCTTAACAAACCTCATTGGAAGAAAGACATCACTTAATGTCCAGGAATCGTAGTGGAAGCGAGTATATTTCACACCCCTATGGTGCCGTCAGATATTACGGTTTTTGTTAAAACCTGCAAAACAGTTGCGGTTCTATAGAGCACGATCCTGTGATATCGTTTAATATGTGTGCGTTTAATATGAGCTACACCGAAAATTAGGGTGACAATGATATTTTTCACTTGGTAAAACTGCGTCATTTCGATTCGTACTCTTTTAGACGAGCTGATGCTTTTAATTTATTGTTACTATCATAAAATGGCAGCAGCTGACACATGTAAATGTTATTAATAATATTAACAGCTAATGTTTTTCGCGAACATACTTCAGACTACGTATGTACCATAATATGGGTATTGGACAAAATATATGGCGAAAAGATTATGTGACAGGGCCGTGAGGTTAACACTTTTGGCGGGATAGCGAGGTGCAAAGTCATTGAGTAAGTAGACAGATTACTTATGTATGAAACGGAGCTTTATTGTTCTTTTAAGTTTTACACATAATACATTTAAGAATTTACGTTTATTTTGGTAATCGCTCAGATAAAGACACAAGTTTGCGCGTTCACTGCGAAGAAGGACCCCTTTGTCATGGCGCCGCAATTCCAAGGAGTATCCCTGCAACCTTCCGAGAGTATCGGGATACTTGGGGTCGACATTTCGAGCGATGTCCAGTTTCGGAGTCATTTGGAAGGCAAAGCCAAGTTGGCGTCCAAAATGCTGGGAGTCCTCAACAGAGCGAAGCGGTACTTCACGCCTGGACAAAGACTTTTGCTTTATAAAGCACAAGTCCGGCCTCGCGTGGAGTACTGCTCCCATCTCTGGGCCGGGGCTCCCAAATACCAGCTTCTTCCATTTGACTCCATACAGAGGAGGGCCGTTCGGATTGTCGATAATCCCATTCTCTCGGATCGTTTGGAGCCTCTGGGTCTGCGGAGGGACTTCGGTTCCCTCTGTATTTTGTACCGTATGTTCCATGGGGAGTGCTCTGAGGAATTGTTCGAGATGATACCAGCATCTCGTTTTTACCATCGCACCGCCCGCCACCGGAGTAGAGTTCATCCATACTACCTGGAGCCACTGCGGTCATCCACAGTGCGTTTCCAGAGATCTTTTTTGCCACGTACCATCCGGCTATGGAATGAGCTCCCCTCCACGGTGTTTCCCGAGCGCTATGACATGTCCTTCTTCAAACGAGGCTTATGGAGAGTATTAAGCGGTAGGCAGCGGCTTGGCTCTGCCCCTGGCATTGCTGAAGTCCATGGGCGACGGTAACCACTCACCATCAGGTGGGCCGTATGCCCGTCTGCCTACAAAGGCAATAATAAAAAAAAAAAGACGGAATCACTGTTCACCTGGCATTAAGTCGTTACCAGAGCGCGTAGATATCTCAACGCGAATGACCCTGCCTATTTTGTCTCTCAAACTCAAATAGAGAACGTCAAAGTCGAAATTTCAATTGGCATAAGAATACCTTAAGGTTTAAAGACAAGAAGTCTGTTTAATTGGCCGAAAATATAAGCTAGTTGTATTTATTCGGAGGTGCACGATAATTTGGTTATAAGAACGGGAGAGAACTGAGATGTCTGGGAACGGGAACCCACGGTAAGAGACGGGGCGGTGCCTTCCACACAATCGCTTTTGTAATATACTCGTATATAGTAGCAATAGCAAGATGTATTCAAAGTCACGTCCGTATATCCCGATGAAAAGCCAGTAAATGCGATTAAATTACCAGACCCAATTATGTACGGAAAAATGTTTGTACGAATTTATCCAGCGCTTCCTCCTCCTTGCGTCGATAATCCTCAGTGCTGAGAGTCGTGGCCTCCTCTAACAACTTTGTCCTGTATTATCCTGTGCCATTCCTGCCTGTCCTCGGCATTGAATTTCTGCCT